AATCCTCTCTATATATAAAGCAGAAGTTGTGTGTGCGTGTGTGTGTGTGTTTGTATGCTTGCGTGTTCGCCCGAACGGACGGACCAATAGGAGAATAGGCTCCGCCCACAATGGGCGGGGCCTATGTATAGCTGAGCGGTGTCTGTTGAAACGTTGTCAACAAAACACTTAAAAGCCGTCAACTTTGGGATGGGGGGTGAGGGCATGTTGAAAGTCACAAACCAAGCCTCGCACACAATAAACGGGGCGTGCACCGAAGTGAGTAATGCCAACGACAAAAATTCGTAAAATTCCTTCGGAAGATCACGGGGACCCGGGACAAAATCATTCTCTATGCACCACGTTAGACTACACCCACAATGGGCGTGGGGGCACACCCGAAGTGAGCGGGGCGTTTGTTCGGGCGGGCGGGGCCTAACGGCCTAACGCAAATCTTCAAAATTCAGACCCGGAACTACTCGGGCAGCGGGAAAACGGACTCGAGTAAAAAGTGGGCAGGTAGATAAACAGAAGGGATCACACCTCGAAGTGGGCTTGGAAAGAGCCCGGCAGATTGCAGTCGGCGGGCGTTTGTCTGGGTAGGCGGGGACCAAGTAAAAATTTCGAAGTTCAAACCCGGAACTACCCGAGCAGCGAAAACGTGGAGTAAGAAGTGGGTCGAGGTTGATTCGATCGATTTTTGCGAGCAGTGTTTGGATGAACCAGCTCTGTGATCGACTCGAATTTTGTTACAGATTCGAGTGGGCTGCATTCTATGGAGAGGGGGGGGGGCGAGGGGGGGGGTAACATAAGTGAAGACACCCCAGCGAAATGAGATGCGCGCCGAGTCGGCGGCGCCTGCTGCAAAAGTTCATAATATAGTCGCAAGGCAAGTGAGAACAGCAGTGAATATGAGGTCATAATCGAAAATTCATAACTTACTACCAATTTTTTGCATTTATTTATTTGTTTATTTACCTGCTATTCATTCTACAACAACTCAAACACACACACACACACACACTTCCACTTCAGTTCATCCACTACCGGCATTCCACCCCTCCCCTTTACGAAAATTTCACAACCGTCCACTAGGGGGGGGGGGGTATATACCAAATGTGAAACGGTAATGTTCTGGAATTGCGAAAAAAAATTTTCTGTAGCGAAAGCGGGCGATCCGACTGGCCCTCAGTTTGGATGGCCGGGGACCCACTTCACACGCATAAGGAGGATCGCCCGCCGAAGGCGGGCGATCCGACTGGCCCTCAGTTTGGATGGCCGGGGACCCACTTCACACGCATAAGGAGGATCGCCCGCCGAAGGCGGGCGATCCGACTGGTATATCCTCAAATATGTGTTTGGGGCGCGAAGCTGGCGCAATGCGTCGGTGTATTGACATCGTAAGAGAATAACGAAAATTCCTGAATACACTGAGAGTCTTGCAACTGAAGAGAACTATACGCTGTCTTGAACCATAAATTCTCTGTTGCTCTTGACAAAACTGGTTTACCATTTCGATAGAATCTCAGTGAACGAACATCCCATTTCAAGGACTTATTGCAGCGGCTACGTTCGCATGGCCTCGTGTGCACGTCGTTAGCTCCTGCGAACATGTCTAGTATAGAAACTGTTTCGTACACTGTCTTGATCATGACGTCATGATTCTGAAATTAAATTTAGGAAGTCTCATCTAAGATGCAAGGAATTCCGCAACGAACTATTATAGTTCGATTCCAAGAATCCTCACAACCTGCATGAGTATAGCATATCCCCAGCCTTCATACTCCATCACTGCTTTCATACATTCGTAATGTGCGCGAGTTCCATTAATTCCATATCTTTCGACGACAAAACGCTCTAAAAAATTGGTACTAACAAAAAAATCAGTGTCAATCGTATCCAGAAAAGTTTCTAAGTAACGGTCCGCAGTGGAATCTCGTTCCAGTTTCACGTCCAGAAGTTGTAATGTAATTAGTTAGGGCGCAAAGTTATCCCAATGGCACCACGCCTTTTCCTGTGACTCTGCCTCCAGGCTGCGCGTCGAACCCGCTTTCTAACCAAAAGTTGACGCTACCGGACAAGTAGCATAAAATGAATGCTTCACTCTCCCTTCCAGGGTCTTGAGTTTCGTTACAAGGAATCAGCCTACTGGGCTCGTCCCAAGACGCAACCTTTTGACCGTCTATCTGTACAGTTGTTTTGGGCAGGAAGGCTTCTATTAAAGGCGTTTTTGAAGTACGCTGTGGGACTTCCATCTTAATTCCATCCAATATCTCAAGGTAACGAGCATCTAAGCAGCTTCTCCCTCCCAACCAGAATGCAGCATAGAGTTGCATAAGAGAACTACACTGCTTCCTTCCGCTCTCTATTTTGAGAAGCTTCTCTTTTTGCTTGTGTTGTTAGGATCATTGAATCATCATCGGAATATGCATAACTAGCCAACCTTTAGGTGCTAGCACATTAGGAAGACATTGTGCGAGTGTCTCTATACGTCTTCTCTACTTTGGTTGTGCTGGAATTCCGAGGTGCTCGAGAATGTAAGCGGCTGGCTAACGTGGCAAGTTCGCCACTGAGAGTTGACACCAAGGTTCCAGTTGGGACCATGCCCATCACTACTGGCGCACACGCTTTCTACAGATTTTCAGAAAAAATATCCAGAACACCGAATCGCAAAGAAACAAGCTCTCATAGCTTTCTGAGCTGCACAAATGATGGGTTGATGAAATTTATATTCATTAGATTCATCATTCATAAAAGTCACAGATATATTTAAGTATAATTACCACAGAATTTCGGGAATTGCTTTTCCATAGTAACCTTTTTTACAGGAGCAACTCAGTGCTTTGATCATGAATATGATGACCCTTTCCCGCTTCGAGGCCAAACGCGCTCATGGGTGTCAACTTGACACTACCGTCTTCCTCACAAACGCTGTATGCTGTGCTTCTTTGGCGCGCTGATTTCACAACTACAGCATCCTGGCTCAATTTCGCGCCAACTCACCAATTTAGTGCATCCATTTTTTCCACTAGAGCGATGATTCTTGCATCCTGGGTTGCATGGAGCCCCGATCATGAGCATAACACTTTGGTCCCCGCAGTCAACACGGAGCATTATTCGTTTGTCCTCTGCTTAGCTGAACCTGGGAGAGGGCACAACATCATTGGGACTCCCCAGAAGGGTCGTATTTGGTTGCTCGGGAGGAAGTCGTATTGGTCGTTGTTGGGGCGGGTGGGGGGGGGGGCGCGTATTCGTCTCCGCGATGTTGGGAAAAATTAATTTCCAGTTGTCGAGTTTCTGGGGTTTTTCCTATCTTACATGCACTGTATACCCCCCGCCCCTCAGCTCGACAGCAAAAAGTTGAAGGAAATGTAGGAACATTACTGGAGAGTTTCGAAAAAACTGGTGAGAATTCGGGGAAATGTTGTTATTTCCCCTCACGACTTTTCTCGTTTTAGGTGCTCAATATATTTACCTAGTGGGGGTCATACCAAGCCACCTCGGGGGCCTCGTATGGAAGTGACCAAAATCCCCAACTAATGATGGCCTGGGAAGAGGCATTCTTCTTGCTCTCTCGCTCGGCCTTAGCAAAGCCTTGGAATACGCATTTCGAAATGTATGTCAGAGTCACGATGAGATCCCCAAATAACCCCAAGTTTGTTACGAATTTCAGAGCAAAAGTCGTGGTTCCATTCTGACGCTGACTTCATTCTGGCACCAAATGACGCCGGCGTTAACATTGGATGCTATTTGCTGTCAGGACCTCAAATGACGCAAATGTGCATGCTTAAGTCAATTCCAGTGAAAAAAGTTACGTCAAAATGGTGCCTTCCGTCGACTGCTAGCGCCGGTGCCCTAAATATGGCAGTAGTGACAATGGCTCTGCACGACCTTTACGGACAAGTTTGCAGCTAGGAGGATAACAAACATTTTCAAAAGGGTTCAAAGCCGTGTCTATCGGCAGCTTTCGAAGAGCTTGCCAGTGGTCATCCAAACGAGCTGTTTCCATTCAAAACAGCACGCGTTGTCGCGAGTGAGCTAAGAGTCTTCGAGAAATTCTGGGATCATGCCACCTCTGGAACTCTTGAAAAACTGATTGCCGAAATGTTATCGGAGATTTCCTGGAAAGAGAATGTGTTGGTATCTTTTTCTTTATATCGAAAACAGAAAAGATTCTCTTTATTTTGCCCTTCACTTTTGAAAACAGTCACTATGTCGATTTCACACAGCAATGAAACCATCACATGTTTTTCACTCGTTCTTCATTTCTGTTCGGTAATATTCACTCGTTATTATGATGTCTATGTTTTTGTGTGAATGAGAAAAGAAAACTGGTCTCGCTGTGGTTGTTTGAAAAAAAATGTTAAAAATGAGCAAGGATAGTCCGGTCCACAAAGCGGCCAAAGCTTTCAGCAATTTCAGAAATTCTTCAGCAGTCGTGCATATTATGAAACTTGAGAGAACCCTGGACAGCCTCCCTCTTTCCTCGACCAAAACAAGAAACCGCATTATGAGTAGAAATCTAATTCAGCCACTTTAACTTGAGGATCCTGATGACTCAACAAATACATCTGGCGTATGTCCAGAAGGCCAAAGTTCACCCTTGCTTGACTAATTCCACGCATCACTTGACCGCGGGTAGCTTCTTTAACACACTTCAAAAATAGTGCTCTTGGCCACTAATATTTGAAGACGTTTTCATTTCCTGGTCTCACTTAGTGGAACCAGATTTTTTTCTATAGTGCGATATCTTATGTCAGTGGAAAAGTAAAGAAGGACGTCTGGTCTGTGTAAGATATTCCAAAATACTAGGGATTCCGACCTGAATTTCTGAACACCCTTGCTTACTTTTGCAACTATCTGCCCTTTCTCCGATTCCACCAGCGGCATATTTCTAGCACTAACTGAAAACAGATAATCGCTGGAAATGGTAGAATCGAGATGAGATTTTTTGTTGGTATGGGAAGTTGCATTTATCGTTACCACGTCTTCTCTATGCGAATATCTTCAAAATCACCTGAAAATTTCTTAAACCAGATCAGAGGTGACATTATCTTTTTGGGGGATCCATCACTGTCGCCTAGTAATGAAACAACAAAAAACCTTGTTTTGGCTTTTTCAGATCATGCAAAATTTTCTCCAAGTTTGTCTTGTTTCTGGAGATGACTAATTCAGAGGAGCGACTGACGCCATCTCAGTTGAACGCATCGCTGACGTTTGCGCGAGGAGCGGTGCAAGCCTCGCTATCACGTGCTGCCGTTGATTGGA